GGAAGAGCATTAGGGCAAACCCATACTTGGGAACCCTAGGGCGTATCAGAATGATGTGAATGAGTTTATAAAGCTAAGTATGCTGGATGGGCAAAGACACAACTAGTAGGAAGTGCAGCCTAAAGGGAATGATGTGAATGAGTTTATAAAGCTAAATACATAAAAATTTCATTTTAATTGCTATCAATGGTCGACCTAATTCATTCCAATGTCCAGATATGAGAACAAATTCAACTTGTTTGATTTTTTCGGTCTCTTAGATCAACACTCTCAATATGCAGGTACAAAGCATGCAATACAATTAATGTATTTGGGGTGGAGAGACAGCAAGAGAGAGAGGGCGGGTGAAGGGAGGGAGAGAGGGTTTCCACTTTTTTATCTTGCATTTTTACCTCTCTCTCTCATGCTCTCTCACTCTCTCTGATTGAGAGTCAAATGGATTTTTATTTCACTCCTTGGACAATTGGAGAAGAAGGTTAGGAATTTAGGATTTTTGTGGGGTTTATTGAAGAAAATGAGATGTAGAGAATAAAAGGTATGAGTTAAGAGATTTAGGGATCTTGATGAGGTGAAATACATTTTAAGTGAAGATAATATGACCTAGGTTAAAGAGAAAGGCAATGAGGAAATATGAAAATGTTTTTTTGAGACATTACTTAATGAGAATTCTAATGAAGAAGTTTTTTTTTTTGTTGGAAAAATACGACTAATAATACAATGTATTATATCATAAATTCTTCCCAAAAAAGTGAAATATATTTTGGTTCGTAACTATGCATAAAGGTAAAGCTTTTGCCTTTTGGTGCATATGAGATATCCATGAAGATTTGAATAGTTATTGGGGAACATTGTAGTGATTTGGTTAGCTAATATTTTCTATGGAGTTTTGAAGTTTAACAAGGCATCGAATGATTGAAGAAGTGTTTTGGTATTAATATTTGAGAATAAAGATGATATTCAAGATGGCATTAACTATTGAGAGAACAAACTTATGATCTATACATTGAAACTATGGGAGGGAATAATCTAACATAAGCTTAAAAAATAACATCAATTGTAATCAATTTGTTTTCCTTCTAGGAAGATCTAGAATTGGAGCGATTTTGATGTTAAGAAACTAGTGGAGAAGTATATAGAACAAATAAATAACCAGTAGGTTAGTTTTTTTGTAATCATGAGGCGACATATGATCTAGTATCATGAGATATTCTTTGATTTGCTTTAAGATATAAGTATGTGTGCAAAATATGTTAATGCTAATTAAGATGTGTTGATGCAGCATTGAATATAGTTAGAAGTAATTGTTTAATGACTAAAGAATTTTCAAATATTATAGGTTTACATCGAAGATCAACATTGAATCCTTTTTTTTGTATTAGTTAAGATGCTTATAAATGATATTCCAAAGTGATAGTGCTTTGATACACTCATTTTGCGTTTGATATAATTCCAGCTAGTAAGACATCCACTAAATTAAGTGAAAGAAAATTAAAATAGTGAAGGAAAATTTTAGAAGAAAGAGTTCATAGAATTAGTAGAATAAAAATTGAGTATATCTATATATGATATATAATTTTAGTGATATGATATTAATAATTATCGTTTAGGGGCTGTTTGGTTTGAAGTAAAAGGGGTGTAATATATTTTAAATGAAGGGGTTTTTAGAATATTGATGTTTGGTTTGAAACAAATCAAATGTAGTGTAAAATTTTGATGTATTTGAAATTCATCATATAGTTCATTATTGATGTACTTGAAATTCCTTAGATTTGAGCAATTTACAAATACACTGAATTTCATTACTTTCCTTGTTGCCTACCACTGTCTCCATGGCTGCTGCCGGCAGTCGCCATTGCCCCCTCTCCTATCGCCCTTTGCCCTGCATACCACTTTAGACTGCAGCCGTCGTCTAACGCCCATCATCATTGTCACCTGGCGGCCAAAGCTGCCGCTGTATGCCGCCAGTTGTAAAAAAGTTATTGATTTTTAAATTGAACGCAGTAAAAAAATAAGAATGTTATGATTAATTTATAACAAAATTATGAAGGACAATTTAAGGAATTATTATATTACGAAATATTGGAGTGGCATTTATTTTAATATAATGTGACTAAAAATAGATTTACGTGATTCGAGTATCTGCAATTAAGTGTAGAAAATGTGCTCATCAGATGAATTGATAAAAATTAGCTTCACATGGCCAAGAAGAAAATATGTTCGATACTTCGATCTAATGCTATAATTATAGAAGAAGAACAAAATACTATTTCGATGAATATGATTGATACCTTGGATAACAGTCGAGAATAGTGAGTGAAAAATGAGGATTCATAATGCCTATCCCAAATAATCGGGATAGGGCTAATGATTATGGGAGACTAACAAAATTAAGATAATTGTAGAATACCTTGATTGGGAAGGAGGAAAAAGGAATAGGAAATATGCATACAAAATTTTGAGTTATCAACACACACAACTCGTATAAGGGCATCTCCAACCGAAAATCTCATTTTTCACTCCAAAATGCAGTGAAACAAAAAAATGTTGTGATTCATTTCCAATTGAACGCCATTTTGTCCCGTAATCGTCGTTCTTTTCTTTCGCGCATTTCTTTCGCAAGTTCAGCTAAACCCTAAAAATGGCGTAGATGAACAATGCAACGCCAATATTGGTGTCGCACTGTTCACCCGCGATCAAATGACGTCAAAAATGACGGTCGGTTGGAACAATGCAAGAACGGGTCCATTGGAGTTGCCCTCAATTGGGGAGAAAGTAAGCCATCAATATCAATCAACAGTGGTCAATCTATGCAAAAAGTCTATGTAAGTGGTTTCATATATATATATATATATATATATAATAAAACTATTATTAAAAAAAAATATTCTTATCCTTGTTACATTCAAATTTAAAAAAAATATATATAAATCGTGGAACTCATTTATAAATAGTAAGGGACCTTCAATCATGGAACCTCTTTATCCACGGGGCTGAAGACCGGGTGGTAAATTCGGCCATAATTGATGGAAATAGAAGTTGATAGCCATCAATCACTCTGCAAACAAAAGCCTTGATGATCTCTATCCCTTTCATCTCTGTTGTAATTAATTTTTTTATTTTTTCTTCTCTGATTCTGTTGAAAGCCCATAAAGGTTGTCGTTGTTGTTGTTGCTGTTGGGTTCTGTTGAAAGCAGATTGATCTCTCTAGCGCATGATTTGCCTATTTACCCTTCCACTATATGCTTCAATTTGAAATAATACTACTAGTACTGCCTGGAACCTTAAGCTTCTATGAGGTACTATCACACAATATATCATGTATTTTTGAACCAGCTGTACTACAAAAATAATGGAATTCAATAGAGGAGCTGGGTCAAAATATTTGACTCAATTTTTTATTTTATTTTTTTGAATGGGGTATCTGCCACATCCGAAAGGGCGCATGACTAATCCTTGACTGACCTGGAAGAGGTGTCCGTCCCAGAATCCACCTATCCCGCACTTGATTGGGCCCCACTTAAGAGGTGTTGCCACTCAAATGGATTCGAGCACGGGTTGGAGGGTTCCCAACCGTATTCGCCCACAAACCAAACTAGATAGTGGTGTATATTTGACTCAAATTTAACTATGATATATTTTGTAATGATTTGTTATGTTGATCTTAAGGCCTCTATTAAATCTTGAGTTTCTCCCAATAGATTGGCAATTGGAGATATTGTCAAAGGAAGATTAGCACTGAGAATTCATAATTTTTCCGTCTTGATGATCTGATGATTGTTGATTTAGTGATTGTATACTCCCACACATCTAAAAATGCGTCGATGCTTAAATAAACTGATTAATACAATATAAATGAGCAGAGCATAAGGAAATTCGACTAGTTACATTGAAAATAAGGAAACTTTCGGGGTTAGGTTTGCTACATTCCTCAAAAGATTACCGCTTCGCTATTTCAGATTAAGGCTTCATTTGGGACGACTTTTTTTATTGCTTATTAAAGCAGCTTTTTAGTTAAAAAATTAAAATTTTTGTTCTAGAAAGCTACTTTAAGAAATAATAAGAAAGCTATCCCAAACGAAGCCTAAGACATCTTTGGATAGTTTTTTTTGCTGCTTTTTAAAATAATCTTTTAATATAAATGTAGTGAATTATAAATTTTTCTATTAAAAAGCTGTTTTAAAAAACAACAAAAAAATTGTCTCAAACGAAGTCTAAGTCTTATTTTTTTATTGTTTTTTATTATTTTATAAAGCTATTTTTTAGTAAAAAATTTTCTTAAAATCAATAAAAAATAGTGATATGAAGTTATCCTAAATGAAACTTAAAATTATGTATAATGATATCATATTGCGGCCTGTTGGTCGACTGAAATGATTCCTCGCAACGATTCCGCATTTAAATCTCCTAATCAGCTCTAAAAAAAAGTTATGTATAATATTATGATTAATAATGGAAGGTATTTTAAGATTAAAATTATGCCACATGTAATATGAATAATATTATGACTAATTTTTAATATATTTATATTTGAATTTAAATTTATGTAATGTGAAACTTTAAGGAATCATTGTTTTAATAATGTATAAACAATATATAAACTAAAAATTGTATTCAATTTTATTTTATAATTTGTTACTTAAATTTTTAAATTTGCAAATATGAAATGTATCGACTTTTTGGTACTTTTTATAATTTTTATAGAATTTGAATATTTCAATTTAAAGTGTAGTGTAATTATTAAAGTAATTATATTATGTTTATATTTTCAATTTTGAATATAATACAAATCATCATTTGAATAATTATTTTGCTATAGATATTTGCATCTTGTGACATATTTTAAGATCACATATTCATTAAAAATAATTATGTTGTGTCAAAATATATTTTTTATTTTACTTTAAATATTCCCAAAAAAAAAAAAATTATTTGCCAAACCATAAAATAGGATAATATTATATAGGTTTTTAAATATTTTACTATGAAGAGAAGACAGCGAAGGCTGTCCGTGCACTCGAATTTGGTGAGCTCCCTCCAGTGTGGACGAGGGTGGACGAGAGGAGAGGAGAACTGGGGATCGGCGATTGTTAACTGAACTTGAAAAGAGTTCCTAGGCGGCGAAATGGCGAGGCTGATGGCGAGGGCTGCCGTGATGCTAGCATGGGCGGCGGCGATGGCTGTTCTTTGTTCAGCAGCAGACCCGTACGCATTTTTCGACTGGAATGTGGCGTACATTAAAGCGGCGCCGCTGGGAGTGGAGCAGCAGGTGTGCGCCGCCGTGTTGTTGTTTGGTCTTCTTCCGGTTCTCCTATTTTTGGATCTGCGATGTTTTTTTAACTGTATAAAAATAGGGCGCCTCGCGGATATTCTTTCTCTTTGACCCGCTCTTTTCGCTCTTTTTTACCTTTTAACGCGGTGGAGCGGAGATTTGCGGCTTTTGGAATTTTTTTTTTCTGGGTTTGTTATTAGTTATCTTTCTTATCGGTGTCTTTAGGTGATATCGATCAACGGCAAATTTCCTGGACCACTTCTCAATGTGACAACCAACTGGAATGTGGTGGTGAACGTCCTCAATAGCCTGGACGAGCCCCTCCTTATTACTTGGTAATTTTTTTTTAGAAATAAATATAGATTTTTTTTTTGCACCATTGATGCAAAAACTTTGAGAAATTTGAGATCTTGATCGTGTTTGGAAGAGCTAGGGTTTTTACTCGGGGATTCTGATTTGATTTTGGTGTCTTAGGGAAGGAGTAGAGCAGAGGAAAAATAGCTGGCAAGATGGGGTTCTGGGAACAAATTGCCCAATTCCAGCGGGATGGAACTGGACTTACCAGTTCCAGGTCAAAGATCAGATTGGCAGCTTTTTTTACTTCCCTTCAATTAACCTCCAGCGTGCTTCTGGAGGCTTTGGAGGGTTCACTATCAACAATAGGGAAATCATTCCGGTGCCCTTTGATACGCCGCATGGAGACATCACTCTCTTTATTGGTGATTGGTTCAATAAGAACCACACGGTGAGTCCATGTGGAAGAATAGCTCGATTATATATATATATATATATATATATAACTAGCGAATGTCACTTTTCAATTAAGATCTCTGAGTATAACAATTGGATTGTCTAGGACTTGAGGACGGAACTTGATCAGGGAAAGACTCTTGGAGTTCCTGATGGTGTGGTGATAAACGGAAAAGGTCCTTATCGTTACAATGACACCCTTGTTCCTGCAGGCATTGAGTATGAAACCATCGATGTTCAGCCAGGTGAGATTACTCGTTCTCCATATAGGCTTCGTTTAGGACGGCTTTCTTGCTGCTTCTTAAAGCAGCTTTCCAGTACAAAATTTTTAATTTTTGTATTAGAAAGCTGCTTTAAGAAGCAGTAAGAAAGCTGTCCCAAACAAAGCTATAGTTTGCTTTTTTTGTTATCTATAGCATTTGAAATGTTTTATTCAGGTATTCAGGTGATAGGTAGTTATCAGTTCAAGTAATATTTATACAGGGTCAGTTCTTGCAATAATGAAAGTATACCGTTTTATGTTTAACTGAATGTTCGAATGATTTTCTGAAAAGCTCTAGACAAGTGCAATTGGGAATTTGTATTACAGATTTTTAATCTTTATCTCCCAGAACACATAAAATTGCAAACATTTTTTTCTCTCTTATTTTTGGAAGGATAAAAAGAACAGCTAATGATATCTATTGATTCAATTTTCTTGTATCAGGGAAAACTTACCGGCTACGTGTCCACAATGTTGGGATATTTACTTGTTTGAACTTTAGGATCCAATCTCACAACTTGCTTCTTGCCGAAACAGAGGGGTCATACACTGTGCAACAAAACTATACCAGTCTTGATATCTTTGTAGGGCAGTCATACTCCTTCTTGGTCACTATGGATCAAAATGCAAGCAGTGACTATTATATTGTTGCAAGTGCTAGGTTTGTGAATGGTTCAAAGTGGGACAGAGTTGTAGGGGTTGCAATCCTACACTATTCTAATTCCAAAGGAAAAGCATCTGGTCCTCTTCCCGATCCTCCCAATGACTTTTATGACAAAACTTACTCAATGAACCAAGCAAGATCCATTAGGTTTGTGCTGCAATTTTGTGTATTGTTTAGCATGCAGGGCAGTTTACTAGTTGCATGTTAAATTACTAACATTCTACACGTTCTTTTTTTCATGCTTGTTTAATAACTTACATTCTTAGCTAAGTCTTTCTTATGGCCATTTTGTTTTGACCAAGTGTCTAGAATTTCTTGCAACTTATCTTTTTGAATTCAAGTGTTTATTTGGTAAAATGCAAAGTAATAATAATAATAGATAATTTAAAGTTAATTTGTGAATTTTTAAGTGCAGATTATTTAGAATAGTTATGAAATAATGGAGTGATTGTAATAAGAAATATGATAAGTAAGCATAGATTAGTTAAATAAATATCATTATGTTCATTAATTTGTGTCAATTTAATAATTAAATATGAAATAATTTAATTAGACTAATTAGAGATTGTTTTGGCTAATTAGTAAGTTTATCTATTCTTTTTATGCTTTCCTCTAGTTTATCATTTACCATGGCTAGTTGATGACTTGCGCTTCTCTCTAAAAGGAGAGGAGAATGACCTAAGAGCTGGAAGTCTATCGAAGTGTTTCTACTTTTAGTTTGTCTAAGAATTCTTAGTCGGTGTTGTTCACTTGCTCCTTACAAGCCAACCTATTTGATTGATTTGAGTTTGGAGGCCAAGCTTACAAGTTGTGAGTCATAAGATGCACTCGATTTTACATGAAACACTTTTTTAGTTATGGTCAATTTTAAGTTGTTTCCTTCCATAAACTTTTCCCCAAACCTATAATGTCTCTTTAGTCAATGCAATCCATGGTATCTAAGTATCTAACAAATATCTTTTGGTCATGCTGGATGAATTACCTCCATGAATGGATAGATTGTGTTCCATGACAACCTATAGGCTATAGCGATAGAATTATGAGATTTTAATTGGGTTTGTCATCGTTCCCCCACCAAATGCTTTGAGGCAATAATGACATATTCCTTCACCAATAATATTTGCTACTAAATCCAAAGCATCGCAATCCTATTGATTGGCCTCAATTGAAAGCATTTCTCATGATCGAGATGGATAATTAACTTTACACGCTCAAATTTATAGGAAGCCTTAAATCAAATTATAAAATACTCGAAAGATGTCAAAATTCTTGAGCACTATTTTATTTAATATTTAATCTATCTTCCGAAAAATAAACCTAGAATTACTCGAGTTTGAATAAAGCCAAAAGAGTTGTTTCAAAGCCCACAATGTTTCTTTTAATTTATGCACATAATTAATTTTTATGGCATCTTCGTGTCCCTAGATTGTTCCTTTCATAAGGCTCTTAATCATTTATTTAGGACAGAGTAGCCATGCTTAACTTATTATTTGTATTCATATACCTTATAGATATGCCATTTCATTTATCAGGTTAATAGTCTACTTTCTATCTTTCCCTATTCTATGAATTCTCTAAATGAGTTGTAGGAGAATTTATGTTTCATCATTATGTATCTATTTTTCTCTTATTGTATATAAGTCTAAATTAATGAAGAATTAAGTAAACTAATTGTGATAGATTGAAGGTAATTTTGATGGCATCTTTGCAACAAAATAAGTTTACGAATCTATTCAATCATCAATAGGGATGAATGGAGAATAATGAGTTTATATCGGTGATTTCAAATACTTGGGATAAGTTTATTGAATGATGGGAAGATATAGGTTTAAATTAATGTTGGTTCTTTTCTCTAAAACTCTCTTTGTGATTTATCAGGTGGAATGTGAGTGCAAGTGGTGCCCGCCCCAATCCCCAAGGATCTTTTAGATATGGTTCCATCAATGTGACCCAAGTGTATGTCTTGAAAAATAAGCCACCAATCCTTATTGACGGAAAGCTCCGCGCCACACTTAATGGAATTTCATATTCATCTCCTGAGACACCATTGAGACTTGCTGATCAGTATGACAAAAAAGGAATATACAAGCTTGATTTCCCCACTCGTCCAGACGCAGTATCACCAAAAATAGCAACCTCTATAATTAATGGCACATACAAGGGTTTTATGGAAATAGTATTTCAGAATAATGACACTAGGGTTCAGAGTTATCACCTAGACGGATATGCATTCTTTGTTGTAGGGTATGAAAAATGCAATATCTCAGCTATACCTATAGAAATAATGCAGTCCTATGCAGCAAATTAGCTTAACTTGCATAAAAATAAGCACATTTCATGTGTTGTCTCAAATTGCTATCAAATGGTCTATCTTGAAATTTACAGGATGGATTATGGTGAGTGGACTGAGAATAGTAGGGGCACATACAATAAATGGGATGGTGTGGCACGCAGCACGATACAAGTGGGTAATTATTTTTGCTCCTATTTTTCATGATACTATTTTCAATGTTCATTGGCAAGTTCTACTTCCCTCTAACTAGTTAGTTGTAATTTTCACTATAAGTAAGCTTAGTTGGAATTTTGGATTCTTTCATGTTTCCATTCAGAAATGCTAAAAACGATCTTATCATTGAGCAAGAGCGTCTTATTCATCCGTGTATAATTTTTCCTTTGAAATGTTACTGTAGTCTTTATAGGCCAATATCATATAGCTGCTAATTTTAATTTTTAGGAAGCAAAACTTGATGATTGTGCGTTGTTGTTGAAGAAAATTAATTGCTAATTAACATTCCTAACTTGTCGAGATTAAAAGATTATTTTGATACTTTCATTCAAATATCTAGCTAAAGTAATGATTTTCTTGTTGCTGCTATACTTGGATTAAATAGTCAAATATTGAAAGACAAATCGATATCAAATAGCTTGCTGGTTTGACTTGTTATAAACCCATCGTTATCCTTGTTTATGACAAGTTAATTCTTAAATTATCCTATAAATTTATTTGGAAATGTATTCCTCCAGTATTTTTTAGGTATAGCAACTACTTCATCAAGCGAGATTATTTACATCAAATTTTTTATTTGGTAGCTCTGCATAGCATCAATTAACTAATGGCATTTATTGAACAGTCTATTGATACATGTGATTTTTAGAAAGCAAGCTAAAGAGTTATCATTTTAAAACAGGAAAAACTGAGATTAAAGTTATCATTGTTAGCTTGGATGCTTAACTTAATATTCTAGAGTGAACTCTTCTTTATTGACTAAAATAAAAATGAAAGATTTAAAGAGCATGTAGATGGTGGGGAAACTTGCATCAATTATTTGATTTGAAATTGTACTCTCCCTGTTCAACACAAAAAAAAAAGACTGTTGTGAGTTGTGACAGGTGATTGATGAAAAACAATGTGTGCATCATAATAGATAACTTCAAAGTAGGAGATAATTCCAGCAAGAATTCTCCTTATATGGATTTAAATTTAGATGCAAACTTATCAAAAATAAGTTTAAAATTTTAAAACTCATTCTTATCGTATTTTGGATTTTGATGCAATAGTTCAACCTCTGTGACCTCGATCTCCCTCATGTGATGTGTGATTCACAATTCAATTGCCATATCTATTCAGGATGGCTTCCTCTTCCATCTCAATGATGTGATATGAAAATCAATATTATTAAAGATCTCTATAGAAAAGTTTGATGGTCATAAATGGCCTGTCTCGAGTTGTTGATCCATTTTTTATCTGATGAACAAGTTATAAGAGTTGCTTTGTCTTGTGGGCTTCTTTGAAATGGATACCAGTTTGACTATCCTCTTCATGTTTTGATATCCAAAATCATGCCCCTTTTTAGGAGGAATTCAATCTTGTGACTTTTATCTTTCTAGATGAAAGAAAGTTTGTTGCCCGACTTCTCTGACGAACAACTTAGCCTTGCTTTGTAATTGAATTTTTAGTAAAATTTTGGGAAGTTTTAGAAGCTTATAATTAGAAAATTAGGAGTTTAGGTTAGGAGTTTTCTTTATTATGGAGTATAGATAGCATACCATCTTTAGGAACCTCTACTAAATGTTAAAAAGTCATACTATGGGAGTACTACTTATGTTTACTTGTTTTCATGGTAATATCTCATCTTTACAGTTTGCCAAAACTGATGAAGCACTGTTTTTTCATCCTTATCTTGTTTGAATTAACAAGTTTTTCGTCCTTTAAGCTCTTTCTTGAATAGTGGAGCTAAAGAGATAGAGGCATGTAAAAGTAAGATAATGATCCTCATAATGTATTATGCTTCTATAGCTCAGTAGCAAATTAGCCCCCCAATAGTTGCACATTGCTAGTTTCAACTACCTCCTCACACGACCTACACCCCTACTACTTTCCTCACTTCTACGTTTGCTTGTCTCCCTGCTCTTATGCATCTCTCTCATCTCCAAGCTAGCCCATATTCTAATCGCTCCCATAGCACATTCCACTTCTCCTGATTCCTCTCCCTATGACATTTGCCCGTCCACTATCTTGCTCAGACTTTTGCTCCCATGAAATCAATTTAATACCAAGCTTCACATCCTTGAAATAGTTTTAAAGCGAGCTATATTGGGCGAATAGAAAATATTAGAAATTGATTCCTCGTTTGGTTAAATATTAACCTGCATAAATTCTCTGAAAAACCTTCTTAAATGTAATGATTTCATTTTATTCATAACATGATTAATTTTTTTTCTTAAAATTTTTCTATCTTTTGAAGCATTAATACTAAGTTAAGTGTTGCAGAGATGAGGATGCTTAGGTGGGTGAGTGGTTTTACCCTTAGAGATAGGATACGAAATGAGCATATACGTGAAAAGGTTGGAGTAGCTCCAGTGGAAGATAAGATTAGAGAGTCGCCTTAGTTGGTTTGGTCACATTAAATGGAGGCCTTCTGATGACCCGATTAGGAAAATTGAGGTATTAGATTTGACTTATGTTAAGAAAGGTAGATGTAGACCTAAAAAGACTTTGTTAGAAAATATTAGAAATGATCTTACTTTATTAGATTTAAATAAGAATTTGACTTTTAACTGGGCACAATGGCGAAAAAGGATTCATGTAGCCGACCCCATGTAGTGGGACAAAGGCTTGTTGTTGTTGTTAAAATTTTTCTATCTACAAGCAACCAAATGAGCCCTGACTACATTTAAAGTTGTGTAACCGATTATATTTTCATGTGTTGATGAAGGTTTACCCTGGAGCTTGGACTGCTATATTAGTCTCACTGGATAACGTTGGCACTTGGAATTTGCGCTCTGAGGATCTTGATTCGTGGTACCTTGGACAAGAGACATACATTAGTGTTGTAAACCCCGAGGGCACTAACAGAACTGAATTGCCTGTTCCAGACAATGTTCTGTACTGTGGAGTCCTCAAGGACCTGCAGAAGTATATTATTTACTCTACCTCTGCATGTTTTTCCTCTTCCTTTCTTGCTATAAGTTCCTCATTTAGCTTGTTTTTGCATTGAAAATTTTCAGACCGCAAACACCTCATGCCCAGGGCTCAGATTCCTCTTCTGCAATTCCAACTGGAAGCTTCATCCTTGTTGCAGTAATGATGTTCTGGGCTTCATTGCCTGTATTCCTGTAAGAAGATAAAGGTTGCTGGGAGTTTTTCAGACCCGTTGGAGCTGACTAATTCATTAACTGTCAGGTTTCTTCTAGTATTATAGCCGTGCAAATGTGTGCTGTTATGAATCTAATTCATTGTTTTTTTTCAGGATGTTAATGAAGTTGCTTTTATTTTATTTTATTTATTGTTTTATCAAATGTTACTGACTTTGGTTTTTTACCATTCATTTATGGAAACTGCCATAGGATTTCCTTTTGGTGTTTATTTTATTTTATTTTTGTTTGGTTGGATGAATTTAACCCACATTATGTTTGTAGCCCTTGAGAGCACATTTGGCTAGTTGAACTTAGAATGAAAATGAACCAAATGAGCTCATATTTGTAGAGGGCGACTCCATTATGTGCTCTGACAAATGTGCTAAATACTTTAAAATTTGATAATATTGTGCAGACATTTACATAAATATGAACTCCGCAATCATTGGAAGCATACAGTTGCTCGAGATTAACAATTTCAACGATATTCTCAGCTCACAAAGAGTCATTTCTTGTTAAGCATATCACTATGATTCATTCTCAATCCGTCAGCAAACATGTGACATATGTCATATAATCCATAATTCACTATTAAATTGCACCATAGATAAAAGACACATGGTCAATCTTATCTATTGGTTTTGAAATAACAGTGGCTTTAATGCAACGCATATCACAAATGAAGCAGTTTTTCAGTTCATTTTAATATAGGCCAGTAGGCCCATGATGATTGTGTACATAGAAGTTGAAGAACTTCTCACATGGGAAATTAATAAAGGCGATCATTCTCAACTCCTCGAAATTCCAACACAGTCAACCCAAATGTACAAGTACTAAATAAAGAATAAACTAATTACATGAATAATTACCTCAACAAAAGATGATCACACTTAGGCTTCGTTTGGGACGGCTTCCTTTATGCTTCTTAAAGCAGCTTTCTAGTACAAAAATTTTAATTTGTATACTAGGAAGCTGCTTTAAGAAGCAATAAGAAAGCCGTCCTAAACAAAACCTTAGTTGAATATACTTTTTATATGCTGAAGACTTACTCTATTATGGATCGATCAAATTGATGTTGGTTGTTTAAGCATATATGATCAACTTATCTTCTCCTCAATATTTTCAACCATTGTAATCATTTAGGCCATATGCTTAGCATGAATATGTATCATATCATGCCACATCATGCACATAATGCAAAATTAGAGGCCGACGTATAAGCATATGCGACTATGTACAGTGGTACAAGCTAAAGCTCAAGTGAAGTAACATATAATGATAATGTTGATGAAATAAAAGGAGATCTTAACATGATTTAGCAGGGTTAACTAAAATATATAATATACTAAATTTTATACAAAAATATAAACATGTTAAAAGTACATAATTTTGTTTAATTTATAAACTAAAAACAATCTCTCTTAGCTAATGTTATTTTCCTTGCATTCTTCTAAAAAAAATGCTAAAACATTTTGCAATTCTACAAAAATGTTAAATATTTTTGTGTTTATGTGCTAATTAAAATTTTTGTGATTACATTCTTCATTCATAATGATTTTTAATAGGTGATCTTTTTTTAAAACTAACCATATATCTTGACCTAGTTTACAACTTATATAAATAGACTAGCAAGCATCATAACACACAGATGGAGGTCTTGTTTTGCTATATTATAGTTGAATTGGAAACTTTTTAAATTCAAATTTAGAATCATTTAAATTTTGAGTTCAATATACCTACAATTGAACTTAATGTCTTCGTGAGACAAACCCATTGATGCCAAAAGTGATCCAATCTGCTTTCAATTGAACACAAATAAAGCACTTGTAATATAATTAAAAGCATTGAGATATTAATTAGATGACAAAACGATCTCCAAATTTCATATGCTTATAACAAATAGAGTGTCTTGGATGGGATGAATCCAAAGAGCTCTATATTACTTAATTCTAATGTTGTTAAAGCACATAATGCGGCAATATTAGTCTACAATCAAGAAAATCAATATAGATAATTCACTAGAGTGTTATGAGATTTCTTTATATTTTCATGACATGCTACTCTTATTAATCTATGAATAGGCTTAGGGGTGTCAATTTTTGGTCACGGGTCGGGTTCAGATTGAGTCTGGAATTGATCCGACACTATTCGGGTCAACCTGAATCATGGGCGGATCAACCAAGGACTCAGGGTGGGCAAATGCCCACCATATATATTTTTTTAAAAAATATTTAGAGAGGATATTTTAGAATATTTTGAGTATTTTGTCCCCCTCAAAAAGATTTTTTGCCATAATTTTATCAATTATAAGCATCTTTGCCCATCCCTCACAACAAATTTTTTTTTTGTCCACCCTGAAAAAGAAACTGGATCTGCCCCTGACCCGAACCCGACTCGCTTCGAGTCCAGGTAAACACGACACCACCCAAGAGATCCGATGCCGACAAAAATTGCTAGTTTTTATGTTAAAAACAAGTCAATCTTCTATTTTTGGGTGAAAATGCGTCAAAAACGGATTTCCGAGTCAAAACGGGTCCATTTCAAATTTTTGGGTCAACCCAAATCCAACTCAATTTTTGAAACGATAATTATCCAACGTATTAATACTAAAATAATACTCTTGATTCTTGACTCTACCATCCTATAAAATTTGATGCAAAATAATACATATAACTAAGAATTACATGTCATATAAAAATTTATTAAAATTCTTTTGCATTTATAAATTTATAAAAGCCTTAATACCCCATTCAAGATATTTTAGATCGACTAATGCGAATAAAATTCAACTGGAAGGCCACAACCCTACATGCACTTGGAAAGCCTGTCGCCCAGTTGTACCGGAGCTCTCACCGACCGACTCATTATTCTACGTCTCGAGCGGCGAGGCCACGCCGTGGAAAAAATCCTCCGGTGCGGTAAAGGAGCGCAGTGGAAACTAACTGAGAGTTCTCCGCGGCATTCGAAAGTTGGGAATGGCGTACTTTCTTAGTCGTGATTGGATACTTGAATCCTCCATTTTCAGGTTATGATTGTTGTCTATTTTACTTCAGGGGACGGACAATTAAGCGAAAGAGGACGATAAGGCGGCAGAGGGGCAAGGATCAAAGATGAGCGGGCACGATTCCAAGTATTTCTCTACCACCAAGAAGGGGGAGATTCCCGAGCTCAAGGAGGAGCTTAATTCGCAGTACAAGGTAATTGTTCGGTACTCCAATTACTTTTCTGCGGGATCCGATGGCTGGTAGAGATTCGAGCGGTTAGTCCCGAACATACAGGTGCAGATCGGTTGACATGATTTCAGATCTGCTAGAAAATATGAGTTGTCTTCAACTGATGTGCAAATTTTTGCGGCAAACGTGAACGGAACTGTCAGGATTCGAAGTGTAATTGGAAGTGAGATCTATAGAATGAGATGTTGGAGGTTAACAACGAAAGTGACTGTCTGTCGTTCTCTCTAATGGACAAAGTAGAACCACGCTTGTGCGTGGATGCTATGCTTGGTTTTGATGAAGAAGCCTTCGGCCAGTGTGAGTTTTCTTGCCGCATCGTAATTCTGAAAATGGCGGGTGCGTCCTTAGGGAGGGCTGAATGCTTGTGGCCTGCCAAAGAGTCGGTGCCAATGCCACGCAAGCCCTCTGGAAAGCCCTTGTAATAGAGGAAACAACGATAAGACAACTCTGTGGCAAAAAGTCCAGCGGCCCAAGAGGAGCTCCTCTATTCTGTTTCTGGAACGTGCAATCTTCGGCAACTGCATACAATAATGGAACCAAAACCCATCCCGGCTGAAAGAACTTGGCAGGGAGAAGGGAAATAAAAATAGAAAAGGAAATAAGGAGTTTCTCATTGCTTTTTCTACATAATTTCATGCTTTTTCATAAACTGTTACAATAGAGATAAGATCTAGTCTATACCTAAACAAAGTCCACAACAATAACATCAAGCCTTTATCCCACTCCGTTGGGTCGGCTGCATGAATACTTTTTCTCCATCGTGTCCTGTTAAGAGTTCATTTCTAATATTTTCTAACAAAGTCTTTTTCGGTCTACCTCTAACTTTCTTAACATAAGCCAAATCTAATGCATCTACTTTCATAATCGGATCATCGGAAGGCTGCCGTTTTATGTGACCAAACCATCTAATGTCACTCTCTTTAATCTTATATTCCATTAGAGCTACTCCAACCTTTTCACGTATCTGCTCATTTCATATCCTGCTCTAAGAGTAAAGCCACTCATCCACCTAAGCATACTCATATCTGCAACACTTAACTTAATATTATGCTTATCTTTTAATGACCAACATTCTGCACCATAAAGCATTGCAGGTCTCACCATCATCTTATAGAATTTCCCTTAAGTTTGAGGGGGACTTTTCTATCACACAACAAGCCTGATGCGTTCCTCCACTTCAACCATCCAACTTTCAAATCTACTAATAATATCCTCATCTATTTCACCATTACTCTTAACAATAGACCCAAAATATCTAAAACGTGTAGTCTTATTAATAACTTGATTGTCCAAAGTCACAACACCCCACTATATCTATTACTACTAAAATTACACTCCATATATTCTGTTTTAGATCTGCTCAAATGAAAACCTTTAGACTTTAAGGTTGACCTTCATAATTCAAGTTTACCTTTAATCATCTCTAGTCTTACCAATAAGAAGAATATCATAAAAAAAGCATACATTAGGGTACAACCTCTTGCAAATGTCTAGTGAGAACATCCATGCTGTTGGTAGGTCCCAAGTCTTTGATAAAAAAAGTGGAGAATTGCGTTAGATAGTCGACATCAACATAAAAATTGTTGAATAATTATGACATGAATTCTTTTATACCTAAACAAAGTCCAACAAGAAATATTCTAGTATTGAATTACAAATTCAAAAGCAAGCTTATCCAATCAAGTTCAAGTATTCTAACCCATCATTTTCCTACTATAATTTTTACTTTTGATCCAATAATTCAGCTTATATGGTTTTGATGTCACTCATATAATGTACGATTAATGATCTAATTGTTCCTAAGGACTCCTAGCGACATCCTCTTCGATCTCAATGATGTAATTAAGAATCACGATCGTTGGCAATTTTCATCAAGAAATGGAATCTTTAAAACTTTAACAAACACAATCCCTTATTTCAATGATGTGATGCCCAAATCGTGTTCATTGATGATTTGATTGATCGCCTACTCCTCATTTAGGAGGATTTCACTCCGTGAAA